CTGTCGAATTCGCCAGGTTCCTCAATGCACCGTTGCGGTTATGCAACCAGTAATACATCTTGACCTTAACAATATTGTACAATACAAGCGAGTTAACTCCATTAAGATACTTGTGTGGTTACACAACTCGTGCTACGCACTCTTTGTGCAACTTTCACACGCGTATCTTAATGATGCTGTTAACTCACTTGTATCGTAAATATCTATAACCTAAATAGAGCAACCAGCAAGCCGCTACCTCAGGGAAAGCAAACCACCTTAACTATATTTGCCTATAGTACAGCTTCTCAAATAATGCTTTTCGGATTCGGCGATAGACTGTAGGTCCCGTTTACTTGTGAACACCGATGACACAGATCAAATACATGCGACAGGTCGCCAACGCTCTGTATAGAGCGAGGCACTGAAAAAAGAAAAATGACTAAGTGCTAGGTCAATTCAATTTCAAAATTTAATACAATGTCAGTTCAAGAAGAAGTTATATAATATTTTATAATTGACCAACTTTCCAATATACTTCCAATAATTAATTTAATATGACGTTATGAAACCATCCAACCGGCAATGCTATAATTTACGCCGCATACGTTTGACAAGATTTTTCGTGATGTAAAGCGACACCCCAATGGAAGAACTGCAAAAACTTTTAATTTCGAGGGTGGGACATTATGGTTTCGTCGATGCCAACATAAGTCCACTTTAAAGCGGCGATTTTAATCATCGGCGGGACATCGCTCGTGGCCGACACGTGTTCGAGTAGGTGAGTCGCGTGCAAGGACACCCCGTTTTATCACAGGGGCAGCGCCAGAGGGTGGGCCGGGAGTGTGGGAGCCAACCCCCTTGGGATGTACACCAAGACTGGATGCAGATTTAAAATGCGAATGTGCGCTCTTTATTTGAATACAGCTGTAACATTTTATATCAAATATTGTCTCTATTTTAACACTGATCATGATGATATAGTATATGATCTACACTCCATTTTTCCACAATTTTGGTGAAATTTTTAAAATGTTATATTTTTTATTAATTTAGTTATTTTTAGCCCTAATTTCATAATTTTTTTTAGCAAGCTGTATATAATTATATCAACTTTAATTTGTAAACACAGCAACGGCCCAGCTACGTCGAAACACCGGTTCCTATTAGAACACCGAAGTTAAGCGACGTAAGGCGATACTAATGGATGGACGGGTGACCGGTTCGAAACTCTGTATCGTGCTGTTGTCCAATAAAGGCAAAAGTGTAAAATCTATTGCCACACTGTGCTCATTCGCGCCGGCGCCGGTTCGAGGCCGGATGAGATCGGATATCTCGTGAGTAAGAGTCGATTTAGACACTTGCCAAGTCAGTAGGCCATTGACCATGATATGGCCGAGGACCGTGGCATTACATCCATCCCGCCGAAACCGCTTCACCAATCTTGATGATTATTTTTTTAAATGAAAGGTCTATATGTCTAGAGTTGTTATGAAGTATTCTTATATCGTTTAATCGCTATTTCTTAATGTAAAACGAATAAATATTAAAACATACCTGAAAAACACCTACTCACAATTAAATACATCCGGAGATAAATTATTTGTCATTGTCAGTGGTGTGTCACTTAGATTATATATCAAGTTTTTAGATATTTTAGGGATCAGTTCATACCGCCAGCTTTAGATACTTAAATATTAGCACAAAGTTTTGTTTAAGCGACATTAGTGAATTAGCTACACAAAGCGATTTTAGGAAATTCATCCTCTTGAGAGTAAAATTATGTCGGAACAATTTGTTGTATGAAAATTGCGTATATACTATCTGGTCTACCAAATGGGTAAAGTTAGTAAAAATTTATATAAAACTTGGTGACCTCTGGATTATACACATAAAAATTGGCACAAAGGATCATTTAAAAGGCTAAAGGTTTAATTAACTGGATAAAACGAATTTATGAAATTTATAACCTTAGGGAGTAGGATAGGGAATGAAAGTTTGCTGTACGAAAATGCATTTCTGTAACATCTAGCAGTATAAAATTTTATATAAGGGTTTATTTAGTGACACATCAATAATATTCAAAATTATTTTAAATTTTGCACATTGTTTCCCCATATATACCCATAAAATATTTTATTTCTACATCTATCCATTTTCGTATAATCAACCGAGGCGAATGAGGTGCGCCACCCTGTATAAATTTATTACACTAGAACTTCTATTATTAACACCATATAACACTGACATTCTTTGGGGTTATCAGTTCTATTATCTTATCAACTTTATACAACTTCTATACATTTAAGTATATCAATTTCACTTCGTTTCCAAAATATCCATAAATGAATCTCATAATTAAACTCCTCATATCCTCTCTATTTTCGAGACCACTATTTTGCGACGAGGCCCAGTTAAATCCATCCATATTACTTCACATATGGTCGGCTTCGGCAAAAGTGTGCGATTAGGGCAGATCAGGGCCGGCCACGATAACGAGATCCGATTATGCAGCTCTAAGCCGCCCGCTCCAATCTCCGCCGCAGCCCTACGCGAGACGGAGCGACCGCTCTCAATCCCTCAAGCCGCTTTGGCCGCCCTTTATTAACTCACCTCTCGCCTAGAGCTTTATTTCGCTCTTTCGCTTTGAAGAGCATGTTAGAATTCGAATAGAGAACGCTTCACGGTAAGTCCAAAATAATTAGGATACTATATAATTGAGCGGATGCACTGAAAGAAAGATGAAGTAAAAAATATATAATATGGTCTTTATCCCGAGAATCTTACTGATTATTTCAATATACCGCTACAATACTTTAAATATAATTTTTAATAACATGTGACAAAACTATCCCGATAATTAAACAAAAAAATTGTGTGTGCACTATACAGGGAGGCACCTCTTATACGCCGCGGAAGCTCCAAGGAGAACGGTAGTTTATATCGAAATGAAATTTTGGCAGCATATGTACGTTAACTGAAAGCATTTTATAAAAATATATGGAGTTCTATAGGTTGTCCTCAAAAAAAGTTAAGCATCAAAGTTTTGTTTTTTTAATGGAACACTCTATATATTAATTGACTTTCGGATTCTAGGAAAAACATAAAGGTGAGTTTTATTAAAGAAGCATATACCTAAAATCTAAGGATTTTGACATATTTTACATTTTGTGAAAATGAAGAGTAAATTTTAAATTTCGATAACAGCTACATACCTAAATTTTAGTTGACCTTGTATATCCTGATATTTAATTACCGTAACCATTGTATATTAAACCAAATTGAAATTTGACCCGAAAAGTTATACAGGGTGAGACAACATTAATATGGAACATCAGTCACTTTTAACAGCAAGTTACTCCTTTATTTTAAATGAAAGACCCAGTATATTATTCCAGCGTTCAATGGGAAATTTATATATCTTCAAAATATTATTAAGGTTGCCTACCCCTCAGACAAAGATTTTCCTAGATATTTTATTTTTTATGATTTTGCGTCAGTAGATCTTTATTATTTGAAAAAAATAGGGGTGGCTGTGCGATATACCTTTTGTTAATTTAACAAAAATTAAAGAGTGTAGAGTAAAATACTCAACGGTAATAAAAAGATACACGTTTAAAACATATTTTAATTATTACAGAATTAAAACTAGATATGAAACTATAATTATGTCACAAAAATTAGCTATGTAGTTGAAATCAAATGCTCAAAATGCTTCCTTTACTGTTAACTGCATAAAATGATTGTCTTTTCAAAAGGATCTTTTCATTTTAAAAGGCATAATGTGGAGTTCTACCTCAAAAAGCGGATACAATAATTTTTCTCATGTTGTCGACAATAGTTGGTCGAGTTTTGTAAACACTGTCTTTAACATATCCCCTTAAAAAAAACCAAACTAGATAAAATCAGGAGCATTTAAGTCAGGATTTAAGTAGTCTATTAATTGGTGAATGCACACTGCATTCACCAACTAATAGGATTATATCGATCATATCAATTCCCTCTGATTTAGGATAAGTTTGCATTTTCGACAAATTTCTGATTTTTTTAACTGACACAAAATGATAACTAGTTGTTAAAATTGTTGTTGGATTAATTAGATAGCTATGTTGAAGTAACGTCAGACCATATCACAGCCTAGATTTTTTCAGCCTAGATTTTATCAAATAATAAAGATCTACTCAGATCAAATCATGTAAATGAAAATATCTATGAAAATCTTTGTTTGAGGGGTAGGCAACCTTAATAGTATTTTGAATAGACATGAATTCTCCATTGAATATCGGAATAATATACTGGATGTTTTGTCATTTAAAATAAAAGAGTAACATGCTTTTAAAGATGACCAATGTTCAATATTAATTTTGTCTCACCCTGTATAACTTTTTGGTTTCACAAGTTTTAATTTGATTTAAAGTACAATGTTAATTTAACTATAGATTAGTCTATACCGGGTAAATTCCAATTTAGGTAGCTCTTATTGTAATTTAAAAATTGTTCTTTATTCCTCGAAAATAATAAACATGTCAATAACCTTACATTTTAGTCATATACTTCTCTTATAAAACTCACCTTTATTTTTCTCCCAGAATCCGAATTCCAATCCCAAATCAATTAATATATAGGGTGTCCCATAACAAAAAAACACAACTTTGATATGTAACTTTTTTTGGGGACACCCTGTAGAACTTTCTATATTTTTAAGAAGTGCTCTGAATTAACGTACATATGCTACCAAATTTCGCTTCAATACAAACTATTGTTCTCCCTGGAGCCTCCGCGGCGTATGAGAGATGCCACCCTCTATGCGCATATTATAGTTTGAAATGTTGAAAAGGTAATAAATTAATAAATAATTTGATTCAGTTTCACAAAATTTAAGACTCACCCTGTATGGTTGCAAATGTTTATACACAGCGAAGTAAACAGGTATCAGTTTGTAACGTTAATAAAAATAGCAGTATAATATACATTAATTGTTGTTTCAATCACTTACCTGTAATTAATCTGTAACATCTAACTAAATTCTGACACTTGACTTTAGTCGTCGTCAATATGTCACCAAATCCTTCGTAAACAAAAATTTCGCATTATAATCATGTAATTTTTTCGTAATCATAAAGTAAAAACAACCATCCCATCTAAATTCAAAGTGAAAAATACATATAATGTCCAATGAGTAAAAGAGAAATCATCCAGATTCATATCGGACAAGCTGGAGTACAAATAGCAAGCGCATGTTGGGAGTTGTACTGTTTAGAACATGGAATTCAAGTCGACGGAAGATTTTATCAAGGATACGACACCCAAGACAGCGGCTCCGATGCTTTCTTTAGCATTTCTTCGTCCGGGAAAGCAGTGCCGAGGGTGGTTATGATCGATTTAGAACCAACAGTTATAGATGAGATTCGTACTAATTACTATAGGCATTTGTTCCATCCAGATTGTTTGCTAACAGGTAATATATTAATTATCGAAATATATTATCAAATTGTTGCGTCGCGCGTCGTTGAGATATAAAAATCTAGTAAGCAACAAATAGCAAAATTTTAGGAGGCATTCAACTGTCAACTGTCAATTGTGAATTTATTAATCCTATAGAGGGTTGTTTACTAGCTGAACAATTTTTATAAATTGTTCAAATTGTGTATTGTAAGATTTGGGTTCGTTGGAGGACTATTAGAGCTACAATTTAAAAATATTTTACAAGATACAGAGTGTCCCAAATAAGTAAAAAATATAGTATATTGTATATTCCTGTATATTATTCTTTTTTTAGATTCTACGATTGAAATAAAGGTAAATTTGATTAAGGTTTCTCACATTTAAACCTTACCGTTTTTGAAATATTTTCAATTTTATGAAATTGCAGTAAAAATTTTAAGGCTTCATTTCTCCAAGGGTATCAAAGTTTTTAATACTAAATATTTACTGAACTTTATTTATTGATCAGATATTATGTTGCAACTACCATAGAATAAAGGATTTCGATTCGCAATAGTTTTGAAAATTTTCCAACAACTTTACCAGTTTGCAGTCAAAATATTAAACTTAACAAATTAAAAAAAAAATAAATTAGACTGTAAAAAAATAAGTACCTAATAATGATTATGCACAATTTTTTTATATCTTTTCAGTTTGTTCCATCTTAATCAATGTTTATATTATTATAACCATAACAAGAAATACATGTCAAGAGATGACATATTATTACCTAAAAACTCAAAAATCGCAGTGAAGATTTGCAAAAATTTTAAATCAGTGTCAATATTCCCGCCCCCAGATTTTAAATTATGCGAATTCGCAAAATATTAAAACAACTTTCTTTTTCTACGACTGCTATGTAAAACGGTAAAAAACGCACGCTAAAGTCAATCTGAAAGTGACGTTTTTCACACACCGTGCGCAAATTTTGTAGTGCGCAATCTTTGCGCACGCTTACTCTTAGTGCACACAACATGTGTCAATTTTAACATTTTTAACCTCCAATATTTAGGTGAAACGCCAAACGCAACGCAGCCGTCAGAAAAGTGTCATCATTACATCGCAAATTATTCCACAAAACTGGCAAAAACTGAGTCAGTCTGCTGCTAATTTGTAGTCGTAGAAAAAATAGCGTAAAAAACTCGTTCGAAAACTTCTTTGTGCACTTGTTCGACTTGTGGCTCTTGCCTGCGGCTCGAGGCAACAAAATGTAGAACATTTTGTTGTACAAAACGCCGTTTTCGAAACTCGTTGTTTAATATACTATTCAATTTTGCCGCCTCCGTATTTTTTTTTGAAATCGACCAATAGCAACGATATTCGCAATTCGCGTGTATATGAAATTCCCTTTATTATACAGGTTGTTTCAAAAAACATGTGCCATCTCTCGTGGAGAGATTCGATACTGCTTTGTTTCGATACTGCTTTCTTTCGTAGCTACCGGGTACTTTTAGTGATTCGAATGAAATTTTGAGGGTAAAAGTTACTATAAATGGGACATATTTTAAAGCTAAAAAAGTGTCGACATATTCAGCAGGAACATATATATGGATTAGAGGGAGGTTATACCATAATTGAAAATGGTTGAATAAGCTGAAAATAATGATGATGATGATAAATATGTAGATAATTTTTAACAATTCCCTCACACATTCTAACGCATAGGCATAAAGGTAAAGCACTTTTACGCCTAACCATAAAAGTATCAAACTATATTAACGAAATTATGTTATTTTCGTACTTGTACTGTTATACACACAACCAAACTTATATGGAATCACTCTTTATTTTTGACTAAATTTCTTGCAAGGATAAAAATTGGTATACAACTTTAAGATAAGGCTTTTTGTTGTAAATAAACATGATAATAAAGAATAAACGACTGCTGCGATTTATTTTCTTTTGATTTTTGTGTTCAGTAGTAAAATCACAACTGTCCGGTAATTTTCATTCAAGCCAAAAAAATTAAAAAATGTCATATGTTTGATTAATAGATGTATAGAGGGGAAGAATTATTGCTCTCATCGAAGAAGGAATGCTCCAGAGAGACGTAGGAGAGACAGTAGGCGTTACCCAGGGTGTTGTAACGAAAACATATGCAAGGTACTTGGAATTAGGAACACACAAGGATAGGCCCAGATAAAGTCGTCAAAGAGTCACAACTGAACAACAAGACCGTCTTGTGTGCTAAATTGTTAAAATAAATCCCAATCTTTCTCATCCAGAGCTACAAAGACAACTTTTGGCAGCTACATGTGTGAACGTTTCAGTTGAAACCACAAGAAAAAGGCTTCGTGCACGAGGGTTTTACAGTAGGAGAGAGTTACAGATCTCACAGTTATCTCGGCAAAATAAAATTGACCGGCTAAATTGACGCCTTCAACATCAAAACTGGACAACTGAGAATTGGCAAAATGTTCTTTTTTCGGATGAAACCAGAATTGGCCTAAGATAAGATAACCATCGAATTCGGGTTCTCAGAGCTCTAGGAAGACAAGCGAGACTTCAGGCTGCCAAATCTGTACCATGATATAAAGGAGGAACTGTAATGTTCTGGGGAGGTATTATACTGGAAGCAAAAACTCCATTGTTACCACTTCAACAAATTTTAACGGGTCGGAGATATGTTGATTTGGTGCTAGAACCAATCGTTACTCTTTGGAGAGCTGCAATTTGGGATATTTTTAACTTCATGCACGATAGTTCCCCTCCCCATACCAGCAGAGTGACTAGAGAACGTCTTGAAACGGCAGGTGTCATAGTTTTGGACTGGCCTGCCTATTTACTAGATCTAAACCCTATCGAACACTTGTGGGATTAGCTCAAAAGAAGGGTTAGAGCTCGTCGAAACAATACAGAAAATATCGCACAGCTTATTGATGCAGCATTAGCAGAATGGGAAAACATACCCCAAGACAACGTGGATAATTTAATAAGAAGCATGCCAGCGCAGATAGAAGCTTGCTTAAGGGCTAGAGGTGGCAACAAGGAATATTAAAATTATAAATTTTCTTTTTTTTATGCTTTTTGGCCATTAAAAATTTAAATCTTAAGTTCGTTTCAGAAACCAAAAAAATACCATTTTGTTTATTTTGGGAACTGGTTAATTTTTTTTATTGCTATATAAATTATTTTTCATTAAAAGTCATTGGTAAGGACTGAGTTTTATTCATAAACACAGAATTTTCATACATCTCAAAAATTATGAAAAATAATAGATGATTCCATATAAGTTTGGTTGTGTATATATACCATTTACCATTATAGCTAATACAACTTTCAGGAAGGTCAGGTCTTGGTCGAAACCTATCATTATTATTGTTGGGACTTGTTCATTTTCATTATATCAATAAAGTAAAGTTTAATTATTTAAGGTAAAGAAGATGCAGCCAACAATTACGCACGTGGAAGGTATAGCATTGGAAAAGAAATGCTAGATTTGGCATTAGATCGGACAAGACTTGTTGCCAACGAGTGCCACTCCCTGCAAGGATTTGTAATATTTCGAGCATTTGGCGGTGGCACCGGATCAGGATTTACAACTTCTTTTTTGGAAGGTTTATACAGCGACTATCGCAAGACAAGCGTATTAGATTTTGCTGTTTTCCCAGCTCCTCGCATCTCGCCTATCATAGTGGAACCATACAACGCAGTGTTGGCCACCAACGGTGGCATAGAGCTAGAAGATGTGTGTTTTGTGATGGACAACGAAGCCGTTTATGATATCCTTGACAGGAAACTGGATACTCCTCGACCAACGTATACGAATCCCAACAGACTTCTTGGCCAAGTAGTGTCAGCTGTCACGGCATCTCTCAGGTTTGATACAGATATAACGTTTCGGAAAATGACGGAAAATGTTGAGACATTTTTTTTTGCTTTTCTATCATTATCCCTATGGGAAAAATTAAAAAAAAAATGAAAATTTGAATACTTACAATGTCGCAGATAAATCCTGTGTCATAGGGGGTTGTTTTTTATTAATTGATTTAGAGGAAATTTGATTGGGGATTGATTAAATAAAAATATATACAGGGTGGTCCAAATTGTATTCGGGAATCTTCGGCATTATATTCTGCAGATAAAATTATGCAAAAAAGTTCGTGTTTATGTCCTAAAATGCTTCGTTGCAGAGATAAAGGGTGTAGAAGTTTAATTTTTATTTCGATTTTTTTTTAAATAATTTTTGAGCTAACGCCCCTATATGGATGTATTGTAAAAATCAATATACAGGGTTGTTCACCACATACGACACGGAGTATTGTGGCTAAACAATTAGATTTTTACAAATTGTAAGTTCTGGGTTCGTTGAAGGACTATTAGAGCTACAATTTAAAAATATGTTTACAAGATACAGAGTGTCCCAAATAAGTAAAAAATATTATAGTTGTATTTTTTTTAAACGAAACACCCTGTATATTATTGTATTTTTAGATTCTACGGTTGAGATAAAGGTAGATTTCATTTATCACACTTAAACCTTATTGTTTTTGAAATATTTTCAATTTTATGAAATTGCAGGAAAATTTTAAGGCTTTATTTCTCCAAGGGTATCGAAGTTTTTAATATTAAATATTTACTGAAGTCCATTTTTTGATCAGTTATTGTGTTGCAATAACAAAAATAATACTACCTCATACAGAGGGTCGAAAAATTTATTTTAAATTATTTATAGCTTTAAACGGCAATAACTTGTTTAATTTAAATGGAACGCCCTGTATATTTAATAATAAATTATATTATACCACTTTTTACCTATCTTTTCAAGTTTTCGTAGAAAATGTATTTTCTTATAATTTAGACGTCATTTATCAATATACCCATGGAATATTGACATTTTAGATTGTTTTAAATAAATAAAATATATTGTTGTAGTATTGTATAATAAATTGTTTTAAATAATAAATGTGGATTTGAATCATAAATCAATATAATAATAAGTTATGAAAATGAATGTCTCTGTTGTTATAGATAAGAATTTGTCAAAAAATAAAATATCATTTTTAAGGTGTTACTTTTTACCACACTGTCTAATACACATACAAAATTCAGTTTTTTAGTATTTAGTGTAATTATTATTAATCAATGCAAACAGTCAATTAATGTAGTTTGAATACTGGAATCATATTAATTGGCCCTCTTTAACAAATATTTAAACAATTTTTTTTTATTTCTTAATGAAATAAACAAACTATATCGACAATATCAGTATCTGTACTCTTTAAAAATTTGGTACATCTTTAAAAATAATCTAAAATGTCAGTATTCCATGGGTATATTGATAAATGAGTTTTAAATTATAAGAAAATGCATTTTCTACGGAAACTTGAAGAGATAGGTAATAAATGGTATAATACAATTTGATAGACAATTAAATTGTGCATCTGACTCTCATAAAATATACAGGGTGTTCCATTTAAATTAAACAAGTTATTGCCGTTTAAAGCTAGTCATTATTTAAAATAAAATTTTAGACACTCTGTATAAGGTGGTATAATTTTTATTATTGCAACACAATAACTGATCAATGAACAATCTTCAGTAAATATTTAGTATAAAAACCTTTAATATCCTTGGAGAACTGAAGCCTTAAATTTTTTACTGCAATTTCACAAAATTAAAAATATTTCAAAAACGGTAAGGTTTAAGTGTAATAAGCCTTAATCAAATTTACCTTTATTTTAATCGTAGAAACTAAAAATGTAGTAATACACAGGGTGTTTTGGTTTAAAAATACAACTTTGATATTTTTTATTTATTTGGGACACTCTGTATCTTGTAAAAATATTTTTAAATTGTAGCTCTAATAATCTTTCAACGAACCCAAAACTTACAATTTGTAAAAATCTAATCATTCAGCTACAATACTCCGTGTCGTATGTAGTGAACAACTCTGTATGTTCTTGTAGGACATTGAACGGTCTTCAAAAAAGGTCTGATATGATTTTTCATGTAATCGACTCGTTTGACAGTTTTGGAACGTTAAAGTTCAACCGGGGACATACTCTTTGCCTACTTTTAGTTTCTAATCAACTTTTTTCTATATTTTCTATCTTGCCTACTTTTAGTTTAATTTGGTTTCCTCCAATGAAATACAAACGAACCCATGACTGCTCTATTGATGAAAACCTGCCGTACGCATAGGACAATATAGATTTTTAAATATTTTTCTTTATTAACTAAATCTGCTAACCTCCAATAACTTTCAAACGAGTCGATTAAATGGAAAATCCTATTAAAACTTTTTTGAAGATCGTTTAATTTCCTATAATAATATGTATTGATGTTTACAACAGCACGCTGATTTGTTAGAAAGCAATAAAATTAAAGAAAAAAAAAACATTTCCCGTGTTATTTAAATGGGAAATACTTTTTTTTCTCTAAAACTGAAAGAGTTGGGGACTTCCATTGTCTTTATTTATTTTGCTTACACAACGTTTCGGTCAGAAGTATCACTGACCTTTACCAAGTGTGAACTATTTTTTTTTCTGTTATCCAATTTATCCGGATATGTTTAATCTCTAGGTTCGAAGGAGCCGTGAACGTTAGTCTAGATGAATTCCAAACCAACCTGGTTCCATATCCCAGAATTCATTTTCCTCTAATAACGTATGCGCCATTTATTCCGGCAAGCAAGGCGCAGCACGAGCAACTTTCGGTGGCCCAACTGACGAATGCTTGTTTCGAACCGGCCAATCAAATGGTGAAATGCGATCCGAGGAAAGGAAAATACATGTCTTGCTGTCTGTTGTTTCGTGGGGATGTATCGCCTACTGATGTTAATAACAGCATCAACAGTATTAAGAGTCAGAGGTCTATACAATTTGTTGATTGGTCTCCCACTGGTTTCAAGATCGGTATTAATTATCAGCCACCGACTACAGTACCTGGAGGTAATTATTTTATTAATAATTAAATATATTAACATTTATTTTATAAAGTTTAAAAAAAATTCTAAAGGGTGCTACCCCAAGTAGCATAGGAAGGAGAAATACCATTTACCACGGAAAATTAACCATTATTTGGTTGAGTTTTACTTATACTTAACTTAATAAATTTCTTGTAGGGAACAAAGTGCGAGAAATCTAAAAATGAGGTCGTAAACTAGTTAATAATAACCTAAAATTATGCCTGTAAAAAGTAGCAACGTTGGAGTTAGCTGGCATTGTTAAAATATAGTTACTGATAACCTATTGAGGGCATTAAGACTACAGGGACTTAGTCATTGTTTGGTTTTCAAGTTAGGTTAAAATTTAGTTGTTAATAACTTTAAATGGGACCTTATTTGGAGCAGTTCAAATTAGGTTGAAAATTTAATTTATTTCGACCTCATAAGTCGCTATTATGCTTCAAAGGTAAAAGTAACTTAGTTTTTTGACTTGGAAGAAAGTCAGACATACGGCAGGTTAAAAATTGCTTTTTTTAATTTCCTCGGGGTGATTTCCGTTTAAAGCAGTTTTCGAGGGATTATTACGTCATAACACATTACCTTGTTCCCACTGGTGGGAAACGAAAGCATATTCAATGCGTTTCTTTTCTATTACCGACACAATCTTAAACGTGTCCATTATGTGCAATAAAAACAAAAAGTCCTCTATGATACAATCCTAAAACACAAAACTTTTAAAAATAATAAGCAAAGAAAACTAATTTGGTTTTCTAGTTATCTAGTGTTCTACTTTAGGCCAGTTCGCTAATTGCATCGGCCAGCAAAAGGATAAAAATTTGATATGTCACGTGACTCTCAATAAAGATTCTCATTTTAGGACACATGATTATTGTGAAAAGTTAATCGGATTGCTCGAAGATGTAATTACCGAACTTAGCATAAAATATCATTGTCAACTGTCACTCAAAGAAAATAAAAGTTTTCTGTTTTACCGGCGATACTCCAGCAATGAGAAATGAACTTCGACCTAATATAGCCCATTTTTTAACCTGCACCTCGAAGGAAAAATATTTTAAGCAAGAAATATTGACCTTTGAGGTTATTAATTTAAAGAAATCTTAACCTCATAAAACGAAAGCGGACTTTAAGGTTTTAAAATTCTGGAAAACCTAACTTCATAGACGAATAGTTAAAAACACCATTAGCGGCCATTTTCTTATCTAATTTGTTTTCAAAAAATATTTTTTTGAGATATTGTTCTAAACTATTGAGAAAAATAAACAGACGTTTATGAATAATACTACCTACCACAAGTTAAATTAACTAAGAACTTTAAAAGTGTACCAAGGAAGTTAGCTGAAAAAAAATTAGGTTAGAACCTTGAAAGTGACGATTTATTCTAAAATTAATTGTTAAAAAGACGAATTGTTAAACAATTTTAACAAGAATTGTTAAAATTTTAATGGCGCATAATTTTTTAGGGCCTATCATATTTACATCTCACAGAAAAATTTTCTCCGCAGACGTAATTATCTTGCGAATCCAGTAAACCACTTCTTACCAATAACTTATTTACATGTATTAGGAAGTGAATATATGTAGGTATTTCATCTACATATATTGGATTAATGTTCAAACGGCCATGCCAGTTATTACTACACTTGTTTGTCTTCCTGGTTCATTATTGGGAAATTCATTTACATACACATATTAAAAAAAGAAAAATACTTTACGTTATTCTTTCTCTTTCTTTCCCATGTTAAAATGTAGGTAGTATAAATTAGGACTATTTTTAGTAAAATATACCTCTATTTTACCATGTTATGACCTCAGGTCGGATATTTTAGACTTCATAGCCCATATTTCGAACAAGACATTATAACCTGTTAACCTGTTTTTAACTTCCAAATTACTTTAGTTTTATTTCCCACTTTGGGAATTTTAACGTCAATTCTTGGAAATTTCGACCAATTTCCAGTTGGTTAATAATAGTCCAGGAGGTTAATTTAACGTAATTTTACCTTCAAATGTTTGTTGGGACAAATTCGGGGTACGAGCATTGGTATCTCGGCAACCCTAATAGATACGAACATGGTTAAATGGGACAAATTTGCACTTTGAGATGTTCACCAAGATGCCATCAAAAACGTTTTCATTTTACGTTATTTATGATCTCGCCTCCAATTTTAACGCCCTCTATTCTGCCGGATAAAGTTTGATTTCCAAGCATCCGTTATACGTAGATACGATGGTCCGACGGTGCTCTGATTGGTCATAGCATTTTCGCGCCACTTTTCATCCGTAAATATTCTACTTCAGCCCGTCAACGGATCCGTTCATACGATAACGAACGTTTGAACACTTTTTTGACAAATTTAATTTAACCTTAATAAAAATATAAGTAAAATAGCAAAATCGTTATGGAAACGCAAATATCAGATGACACCAACGTATATCCGATAAACGAAGGCATGAAAATGCAATAAATATAAAAACTGCGTTATTTTCTAACCAATTAAAGTCTTTAAATTCTACCAATAAAATTAATATCGTATCAACGTATCGTCGAACAACGGATGCATGAAAATCAAGCTTAAAGCCTCGATAAAAATGTTCTCCGAATGAATAACGATGACAAAACACACCCCTGTCTTCCTCCTCGTTTTTCAAGGATAGCTGAGTTTTTTGAGAAAAACGGATTTTTTTCAAAATCTATTTTATTTTTCCCTGTCGTTACTTTTTAGAAAATCAAAAAAATAATTGCATATTCTCATGGCCAGTATAACTTTTTGGAACACCCTGTATGATTTTTTAAAAAATTTCAAAATATGTAAAAAAAACTAAATAAATTATGCTTGTCCAAGCGTTTTCCCGAAAGACTAACCGTTTTTTAAATAACAAATATTGTAATATTTTGGGGGCGTTTTCACCCTCTTGGAATTTGAGATTCGAGAAACCCCTCCTTGTCGAACCTCTACACCCCACAGTCAATTCGTTTGCCAAAAATCAGCTTTAAACGCCAAGCAGTTTAAGCAGAATCGTGTCATATTTTATGAAACACTCTGTATAAATTTATAAAAAATCTTTATAAATATATAATTAAATAAATAATATAACTAAATAAATAATATATAATATATTTACAAAATAAAATATACGTGTTTAAGAGTTTTTCCGAAAAACTCACCGGTTTTTAAATAAAAAATATTCTAATATTTGAGGGGTGGTTTCACCCCCTTGGAATTGGAGTTTCGAATTTCCGTTTTCCAAAAATCAGCTTTTTACGTCAAGCGTTTTAAGTAGGATCGTGATTAATCAATGAATAGATTTTTCGAAACACCCTGTATACATTTTTAAAAAATCTTAAAATATGTAAAAAAACAAAATAAAATGTACGTGTTTAAGCGTTTTTTCGGAAACTTGACCGTTTTTTAAATAAAAAATATTGTAATATTTGAGGGGTGGTTTCACCCTCTTGGAACTGGAATTTCGAAAAATCCCTTCTTATCGAACCTCTACACCCTAGAATCAACCTGTATGCCAAAATTGAGCTTCTTACGTTGAGTGGTTTGAGCAGGATCGTGATTAATCAGTATGTCAGTCACTTAAGGATTTTATATATTAGTATAAATTAAATAATTTTGTTGCTTTAAAATAAAAAAAATATATATATAAAAATATAAAAAACAATAAAAAATAGAAAGTGTGGCATATCGTTATACTCAGGAGACTGAATTCTTTCAAAACCTTAAATATAAAATTTAAAAAAATTAAGTTTTGATAGCGTGTTGGCGAACATTTCAAGGCGCAACTTTGCCCCAATTTAACCATCTTTCTATCTATTACGGTTTCCGAGATACCAACGCTCGTGTCTCGAAATTGGAACCCACTTTATATCTATGAACAAAAACATACACAGACATAAATAGAAAGTATAATATCCCACACTTAATATTTTTTGTGTTTCGGACATTTAAACACCCATTTATTCAATATAATTAATTTAATTATAATAATATGTCGTTACAATTTTGATGAGCTTTAAAACTTAACAATGACGTGGGGTAAAACATTGAATACGGCAGATCAATTACAGTAAAATAATATAAAATAATAGGATAAAGTAAGTTGGTGATATTTTTGCTTGAACATGGACAATTTGAATTCGTATGAAGATATATTATTTTTCCAACTTACCTATCTGGAAGGTTTATGTTTCAAACAATCGCTTATATATTCAAAACGATAAGATGATGTCAATTTTGACAGAAAAAATAAATTTGAAAAAAATACAAATTGGTTAGGTAATTTGGTTATAGGTAAGTTAATTTGGTGATAGTGGAAAGGTATTTTGGTGATATATGAGATTACGTGCAGTTGAAAATAAAATGGCTGAAAATTTTTAAGTTTATTACAAAACAAGTATTTACCTAGTAGAAATAATAATAATAATTTTTATTCTGAGTCGTTTCGTTTATTCTGACTGCTCATCACAACCGTCGCACATGTCTTCATCGTCAGGTCTCGTTTGACAATCTCTGTGATACGGAACACAGCAAAAAGAGCACTGAACCCATAAGGCACAATTTTTAGCGTTCACAACTTCTCGACATTCAAAAATTCCGGACATTCAAAAATCTCATTACTTTGTTGCCTCTTTACTTTTTGGTTGTCGTTATTAACTGAATTTAATCACAAGAGCAAACAATATTTTAAGCTCATTATTATTGTACCACATTACAAAGTAGCATTTATTCCCTATGGGATAACACAGGAACGAACTCTTATCTGTCAATAGTTCGCCAACTACAAATAAAATCAATTTATATCACAAAAATGATCAAATTGAATTACTTTATTTACCGGCACGAAGCAAACGTTTTCCTAAACGCAAACAAATGGACCGAAGCGCGCCGCAGACTATGCAGCATGGAGAGGATATTAGATAGATTTAACTGACACGTTTTAAGTCCTGCCACTGAATAGGCGAGTTGCTGAAAAATTATTAAAGAACTATCACCAATTTACCTATACCACCAACATACCTTACTTTACCCTATAATATAAACAAGCAAATCATTTCCCCGGAAGATGGATTGGAAATGGTGGAGCAATACAATGGCCAGCCAGGTTCTAAGACCTGTTGCCAAGGGGCGGGGGGCATTATTTGACATCATTTGTAAAAGTGAAATCAATACACCTCAACATTTACAACAAAGAGTACAAAATCCATTCGGAAGTATAAGAAGAAGGTCTGTTGATAGGGAATAAAATTGAACGAAAAATAAATTTGTGCAATTGGGAGGGTGGTAACCCTTAAATTCACAATAAAAAAAGTTAAAAATAATATCTCTAAATTGTTGACCCTGGATATTAATTATTTTAATATTTCAATTGGCTCGATTTTCCTTATTCAATGATAATTAGCTTTCATCAATATTGTTGGGATGAATATAATCAGGTTAAATAATTTAGAAAACCAGACACGGACTTGAATTTATTTTATATAATAATTAGCGTGTACCAGCGACTTCGTTCGCGTCGAATTAATCATTTGTAAGATAAAGCAAAGCAAGAATTTCTATTAACATACAAACTGGATAAAATTTTCTCACATTTATGTCAGCATGAGAAAAAACAATATGGTGATATTATTATATATCTTGGTAATATTTGAGGGGTAGTTTCATCTCGTTGGAATTTGACTTTCGAAAAATCCGTTTGCCAAAAATAAGCTTTTTACGTCAGTTTAAGCAGAATCGTGGTTAAGAAATTACCCAACTTTTTGGAACACCCTGTATGATTTTTTAAAAAATTTCAAAATATGTAAAAAAAACTAAATAAATTATGCTTGTCCAAGCGTTTTCCCGAAAGACTAACCGTTTTTTAAATAACAAATATTGTAATATTTTGGGGGCGTTTTCACCCTCTTGGAATTTGAGATTCGAGAAACCCCTCCTTGTCGAACCTCTACACCCACAGTCAATTCGTTTGCCAAAAATCAGCTTTAAACGCCAAGCAGTTTAAGCAGAATCGTGTCATATTTTATGAAACACTCTGTATAAATTTATAAAAAATCTTTATAAATATATAATTAAATAAATAATATAACTAAATAAATAATATATAATATATTTACAAAATAAAATATACGTGTTTAAGAGTTTTTCCGAAAAACTCACCGGTTTTTAAATAAAAAATATTCTAATATTTGAGGGGTGGTTTCACCCCCTTGGAATTGGAGTTTCGAATTTCCGTTTTCCAAAAATCAGCTTTTTACGTCAAGCGTTTTAAGTAGGATCGTGATTAATCAATGAATAGATTTTTCGAAACACCCTGTATACATTTTTAAAAAATCTTAAAATATGTAAAAAAACAAAATAAAATGTACGTGTTTAAGCGTTTTTTCGGAAACTTGACCGTTTTTTAAATAAAAAATATTGTAATATTTGAGGGTGGTTTCACCCTCTTGGAACTGGAATTTCGAAAAATCCCTTCTTATCGAACCTCTACACCCTAGAATCAACCTGTATGCCAAAATTGAGCTTCTTACGTTGAGTGGTTTGAGCAGGATCGTGATTAATCAGTATGTCAGTCACTTAAGGATTTTATATATTAGTATAAATTAAATAATTTTGTTGCTTTAAAATAAAAAAATATATATATAAAAATATAAAAAACAATAAAAATAGAAAGTGTGGCATATCGTTATACTCAGGAGACTGAATTCTTTCAAAACCTTAAATATAAAATTTAAAAAAATTAAGTTTTGATAGCGTGTTGGCGAACATTTCAAGGCGCAACTTTGCCCCAATTTAACCATCTTTCTATCTATTACGGTTTCCGAGATACCAACGCTCGTGTCTCGAAATTGGAACCCACTTTATATCTATGAACAAAAACATACACAGACATAAATAGAAAGTAAAAACATAAAAGTAAAAATTAGTCATGGTTGAAAGTAAAGTTCGAATCTTAAGTAAAAATAAAAATGTGATTTCAGACTTGCGCTTTGTTTATTAAATTTTATTAAAAAGTTTCGAATATGTAAATATTTGATAGATACCTAGCCTAATATGCATTAGCGTAACTATCAATTCATCCTAGGTGGGGGGTAGTCCAGTAAATAAGGACACGAAAACCCAGACCCAAGTCCCACGAAAATACAGACCCAAGTCTCGGCGTAATTCGTCGACCTTGACTTTTTAGGTGGATTGTGTACCTTTTGGGGAGTAGTTTTAGGGGGGAAATAGTAACACCGTACACCGTACTTGGTCAGCTTTGGCCGAAAATTGCCCCAAATGGCCGAAAAATCAGTTTTTTACAAATATCTGCCAAAATATGCAGTTTACAAAATTGGATTGGAAATTTTTCTCGGAACAAAAATGAAGCTTCCAATCCAAGATCCAAGAAAACTTGTAAATTGCATATTTTGGTAGATATTTGCAAAAAACTGATTTTTGGTCCATTTGGTGCCATTTTTTCGGCCAAAACTGGTGGAATAAATTAGTGGCTTCAATTAGCGTAGAAGTTTGTTCCTCTAATTTGAATTTAAGTATTCAAAACGTTAAAATTAGTGGTAGGAATTTTCAATTAATGGAAAAAGTTATTACACTTTTAACTTTTCTATTAATTATACTTTAAAATTTGTGAGGAATGTCATTTTGTCCTTTGATTATCATCGGTCAAGAGAAAATCTGGTTAGAAATCAAAGGTTTATTGTTTTATAAGCTAAATACATCTAAATATTAGGCTTTATGGATACAACTGATTACCGCAAGCTGTTGCTAGGATATTCTATTAATTTTAATTATGTTTTTAAAGTAAAGTAAAGATTTCAGTTAACGTCTCCTTTTTGCTGCCAGGGCTAATCTGGACGGGGCCTACTTTGTTTACGCGGAATCCGAACCGCGGTCTTCGGCCATATCATGGTCAATGGTCTACCGACTTGGCAAGTGTCTAAATCAACTCTTACTCATGAGATATCCGACCTCATCCGACCTCGAACCGGCGTGAATGAGCAGTGTGTGTCAATAGATTTTACACTTTTGCCTTTATTGAACAACAGCACGATACAGAGTTTCTAATCGGTCACCCGTCCATCCACTAGTATCGCCTTACGTCTCTTAACTTCAGTGTTCTAATGGGAACCGGTGTTTCGACGTAGCTGGGCCGTTGCCTAATTATTATGTTTTTAGACATTGTGAATAAATCATCGTAAACTAAAAAGCATAAAGTGTAATTGAAACCACTAATTGCGACATTCTGAATGAAGCTTAACAGATTTCTTACCATTGTAAAGGTAACCAAATCAGTGATAATAAACTAAAATCAAATGTACAAATCTACAATCAAATATTTTTTGTTATTTTAAATAAGATTACAGTAGTCTTGTGACAAAGGAAGATATAGCAAAACAAGTGTGTTTTTATCAGTCTCGATATATTTACCAATTTTAAGTATATTTTTAGGCGACTTAGCTGCAGTCTCGAGAGCGGTTACAATGTTGTCAAACACGACAGCCATTAGGGAAGCCTGGGAGCGTCTGCTGCGTAAATTCGACATGATGTACAAGAAAAGGGCGTTCGTACATCACTACGTGGGGGAGGGAATGGAAGAAGGCGAATTCAAAGATGCGAGGGAGGATTTGGCCGCCCTGGTGTTGGATTATAAGGAGGTCGATAGCGGATAAACATTAGCACATGAAACGCATTATTCATGATCATTCATCAATAAAGGAAACTATTAACTATACTTGTAATACTTCTTTTTCATTACTACGACTCTTCCTTCTTCTTTCTTACTGGTACGAGTTTTATTTTTAAAAAAATATCAAACATTTTTTTTAATTTTGATTCAAGTTAGCGCCTAAAGTAAAAAAATATATTTTATGAAGATTTCTCAGAATTAAAACATTGCTATGCAATCAAGGAATGATAGAAAAATGCTAATTAATGGGGAGGGTAGCCTAAACCGTACAGCTTTGCATAAAAATTTGAAAATTTACCAACTTTAACAAGAACTTTTACAAATTTTGTCGATATAGATAGTTATTTCATTAAAAATAATAAAACTGTGTAAATATTTGTTAAAGAAGTCCAATTAATATGATCCCAGTATTCAAACCACTAATTGACTGTTTGGGTTGATTAATAATAATTGCTCCAAATACTAAAAAAATGAATTTTGTATGTGTGTTATACAGTGTGCTAAAAAGTAGCATCTTATAAATTTTATTTAATTTTTTGACGAATACTTATTTATAACAGAGACGTTCATTTTCATAACTTATTATTATATTGATTTCTGATTCAAATCCACATTTATTTAGAACTAGTTGAAGCCTGGTGCATCCGCCACGACATCAGGAAAAAAAAACATTTTATGTTTTGTTTAATTAAATGAAAAACAAAAAATCGGGCGACGACAGTTTTTAGAAGAGCCAATTAGCTATCTTTTAGTAAAAAAAGTAACTTTCTAGAGCAAGGGTTACTTCAGTAGAGACGACACAGATAAACATTAGCATTTTATATATGTAGATAATTTATTAACTAAAACAATTATGTATGCCATTAACTAATTGTTGGGCGGAAATAATGGTGGTGTATTTAATTAATATATCTCTTTTACAAAGATTTAAATAATTTCCTTTTTCTAAACAAATGGGCTTGCAATATTATCGTTTTTAGCACCTGTACATTTGTTGCTTTAAAAAAATCTAAAATGTCAATATTCCATGGGTATCTTAATCTTGATAAATGGTCTAAATTATATGAAAATGCATTTTCTATGAAAACTTGAAGAGATATGCGAAAATGGTATGACAGTATTTGCTAGACAATTAAATTCTACATCTGATTCTCGTAAAATATACAGGGTGTTCCATTTAAATTAAACAAGTTATTGCCGTTTAAAGCTAGTAATTATTTAATTATTAATTATTATACTCTGTGTAAGGTAGTTTTAGTCTTAATATTATCTGATCAATAAATAATCTTCAGTAAATATTTAGTATTAAAAACCTTGATACCCTTGGAGAAATGAATAAGTCTTAAAACGAGTCTTAAAATGTTTACTGCAATTTTACAAAATTGAAAATATTTCAAAAACGGTAATGTTTAAGCTCGGGTTTAAGTGTGATACACCTTAATCAGATTTACCTTTATTTCAATCGTAGAATCTAGAAGTAGAATAATATACATGGTGTTCTATTTGAAAAAACAACTATAATATTTTTGATTTATTTGGTACTCTCTGTATCTTGTAAAAATATTTTTAAATTGTAGGTCTTCAACGAACCCAAAACTTACAATTTGTAAAAATCTAATCGTTTAGCTACAATACTCCGTGTCGTATGTGGTGAATAACCCTGTATACCGGGTGTTTCTCAAAAGTGGCTCACCCCTACAACTTTTTTATTTGGATTACCCCGAAAAATCTAGGATTCAATCAATAATATAATCTTGTCAAATGTTGAATCAACAAGAAACTACAGAGAATTAATTCGAATACGTGATTATATATCATCATCTTTTTAAACATATCTTATTCTGAAATTACCATCATAATATAAGTCCTTGTCTTATTATAAAAATTTATAAAACCTTATTTTCCAGAATGTACCGCATCGATTTTGCCTGACAAAACAATTAGATGGAATTCCATCCCCTTCGCCAATTATTTCAATTACAACTCTTTCGAGTGAAAACGCGTAGGGTTCCTTGTTATCGATTCCTTGTACCCCGATAAGCCTGGGAATAAATCGGTAATAGAATCTGATCGAATGTTGGACCAACAAGGAACGGCGCGTGGTCGGGCACGCGGCTCGAGGACGCGCGGGGATTCACGCGTGATAATCGCACTAACACGATACACTTTCCCTCCGGTCCGTCGGATTAGGCCGGCTTACTGGCGCTGTTGTCGCATCGATTTAGGCCGCGGACGATAACGAAACGAGGCGTCGAGATCGATCTTAATAAACGTCATCGTTACGGAGTGCGGACAACATTAAGCCTCATCAATAAGGATTTTTTGCTAATGCCGTGCCGTGGGGATAAGGTTTTACTTAATCTTTACGGCGATTAGCTGGGAAATTTAAATGTGTTTTTTATATGTGCCATACAGGGCGTCACCTAGAACTACTACGTTTTTTTGGAATCAAAATAAGTGTATTGGACATGAATTACCTATTACCTCTAAACAAAAGTGCTTCGTTTGTCTGCTAGAGGGCATCAAACTTTAATAGTATATTACACACCGAGGAGAGAAGCGTTTCATTACTGTAGAGAGATTAACTAAATCTCGAGACAATAATGAAAACTTTCCTCCGAGGTTTGTATATTATTTTATTTACAACATCATCATTAATTAAAAAATGGGGACAGTATTTTATTTTGAAAAAAAATAAATATGCGAAAATTTGTCGTTTTCTGTTTTGGCATTTCCATATCTATAGCTACCGGTTGGTTATTATGGCGCCTGGCGCAAACCTTCAACAAACTGGAGAGTCTAAATACAGAGAAACTAACTTACACTAACTTGGTTCCAACGATGCTTAGAATGAGAACTGGAAAGCAGTCCGGGAATATATGGAGGTGCTGATATCTGCAAAGGAAAACGAAGCCAAAATGTTTGGAAAGTAAAAAAAAAGAAGAATAATTTGAGTGTACTTACCATGCTGCTCTAGTACTGCTTTGTACTTACCACACTCGCTATTGTTCAACTTTGACTGAAGTGCTCAATTACCTGCAACATCACAATAAAACTGCCTCCCCCAAAAGTAATGCCAAAAGGTAGTTCCTTGGGGAGATACTCAAAGCGGTTTGTGGAGGTTTTTTAGTCGGTAAGGTACCTCAACCACCCCGACAGTACCATTTACGGTCTCTGGTTTGCAGATTTTTCCCCCACGAAAAAAAAAGTGTTTTTGTTAATTTATTGCACCTACTCTATTAAGAACTATGATTAATTTACTTACTTAATTAATATTAATAATACTTATCAAAGATTTAATGGAAATACAGAACTCTGATAAATATTGATTTTTATTTCTACTACTTGAATCTCTACTCAGGTTGTATATATTACTTTAACATTGCAGGAGCAATATGAAGTGCTGTTTTGCTACAAAATTTTGATGTTTCTTTACCTTGCATAACTTCAAATGACTCAAAACGTCGAAAAAAACGATTTTGAATTGATGCCAAATTTCGAATTATATGTGACTAAATTTAAAAACTAAGGTATCTATGTAACGTGAAATTTTATTCTGAACAACTTTTGGATTTCGGCTATACGACTAAACCAAATTTGATGTTTTATATGCCATTTGACGCAGAATTTAGTCCTCTGTATTATTGAACGGAATGACATTCTCCGGCGGACGCACCGTTTTCCAGCTACAAGCAAAAAAACTAAAAAATGTGCAAAAATTTGGCGTTTTTTTGACTACCAAAAGTTAAGCTCACCACCTGGGATGCAAACTCAGATTACACGCATTTAGGACCTAATAGAAGTATTAAAACAATTTTCAACTTGCTGGAAATTAATTCCGCAAAACTGCTTTTTTCCATTTAATTTTATTGGCCTATTACAGAAGCTGCAACAAGAGTAGAAGCAGTTTATTTCCAGAGAAAAGTAGGGGGCGATATGACGTAGCATTGAAAGTATACGAAAAATGGTGTGCCGAAAGAAACGCTAAGAATATTGCTTCGGAGACAGTCTTGAAGGCATATTTTAGAGACATGGCAAGGCAGAAAAAGCCATCTACTCTTTGGGCTACGTACAGCATGATACGGACAATGCTAGAATTAAGGGAAAAGACTGACATGTATCAAAATATCACAAACTCGTCGCTTTTTTAAAACGCCAGAATGTAGGTTTTAAGCCAAAGAAGTCTAGCATTTTGCCTTCAACAAAGAAGTGTATCAATTATTATTGTGAAAATCTTCAATTATTATTGTTAATCTTCTTGTTATTATTGTTGATGTTAGATAAGTATTTAATAAAGATATTACAAGAATTTTGCTTAATTAAATGAGGTGAGAAATAAGAAAAACCGAGTGAGGGAAATGGATAAGGGAAATGGAAGAGGGAAGAAATGTAGATAATTCGACACTTTCAAATTTTTAAGTCAGTAATGTCAGTATTATATATTATGTGGTTGTAAATAAAAGAATAAACACATTTTTCAGATATTTTAAGAACCGTTATTCTGATTTGAATGATTTTTTTGGCGTCTTATGTTTTGATAAGTGTTTTAACATTTGACTTTCATAAAAATCAAGAAAAAGTACGAGAAGGGTACCTCCACATAAATTTTAGTATAAATATTTTCCAACTCTACCGACGACAGATCTACTATCACAGATTATACAGATAATAAACTTATCGTCAAAAGCATTGTTTTTCGTGGTTGCAATTTTCGGAGTCGCGCACTAGTTAGGGTACTAGTTTGCGCATAAGCACGCCCACTTATGGCCTGTAAAATTGAGCACAGTGCCTGACCGGCCTCGTGACCGGCCTAGTTATTACGCTTTTTAAACGGGACTTTATTTTTGCGCACAAGAAAATTTACTCGTTTGCTCATCGTCATAAAAAACAATTTTCGTACCACGAATTCGGGACAAGATTTTTATCTGTATACTTATAGGTAGGATACCTAATCTGTGCTACTATTTACTACATTTTTTGTCTCTTGTAAAAAAAAACGCCACGTGGTATAGTTTTTGAGATGTTTTTTTGGAGAATTTATTTTT